TAAGGGCTCATATTAATGAACGACACACGATGCGGGTAACAACAATGTTTTCTATTTGTTACACTGTGTTATTCAAAGACTATGAGCATGGTTCTAAATAAAATGTTTAAGTAAGTTTTTAAGTTCCGACTACTTATTCACCATTACCACAATCACCAAACACAAGGAGATGACGATACAGAGACTACAATAGATAAACTATATTAGATAATTTTTCCAAAGTCTTTCCGAAGACTTCATAGAGAAATAATCCAAGTTTAGTGCTTAGGTTTAGTTCTCTATGGAAGACTTCCAAATCAACCGGTTAAGTGACCGCCATAGTAAAGCTAAAGGGCCCCATGCACAAGTTTTACATTAAATATATCAAAAGTGATTATGACTTGAAATAATTTAATTTACGACTGATTTACTTGTTTGCTGAGATTATCGATACTGCGGTCATTACGGTGGTCAGTGTGGGAATCGAATGATCATTAATATTGTGTATTGTCTGTTATTAGAGGGGACGTCCGCCGCGCCGGTCAGAATCTGTAGAGGTTTACTAGGATTTATAATTGGATATTTGTCAACTCAATAATGGGACTTGGTTTGGCTTTGGTCGTAGAGTTTCTATAGGGTGGAAAACGAGCAACTGTATTACCTGATGGTAAGCAATCGGCGCCGCCCGTGGACAGTCGCAACACTACAGGAGTTGCAAGTGAGTTGCTGCTATTATAGGTGGGGGTAGGGGAAGGACTGGGCCTCCATACTCAAACAATGCTGTGGTTGATTAACCCCAGTTTCCTGTAAGGCTGTGGTGTCACTCCGGTCAAGCCAACCCATTCGTGCCGAAGCATGGCCCTATCTTACTTGAAGAATTTTTATTTTAAGTTTTTAGTACTATATAACTTGTTTCTGTAATCCTATTTTCACTGAGGGTTGTGGTTGGAAGCGTAATAATGTGAGTACCACGGCCCGGTTTGGACCAGGACTAGAAACGGCTTGATTTTCCGACAGTATGAGTCTGACACTCCCTTTCAAAGCTGGAGAAGGAATCGGATAATTTTACAATTAAGTAAGTAGGTAAGTAATTATTGCCATTTTTATAATGATACTCTTTTTCAAATGAAAAATTAAAAAAATGAGCTTTGGTGTTATTACAGACCTATTAACATTATAAAAAAATGAGTTGAAATCCATAATAACTTTGATAGATAAGCATGAGCAATTTAGCAGTGGTTCGTGCCACCGCCGCGTGACGGCAACCGACGGAACGCGGCAGCCGCGCGGCGGCACGGTGGCGACGGACTACAGACGCCCGACGGGCGGAAAATGTCAGAACTAGAAAGAAGAAAGACTTAATTTCAACTTTTAAAAACCTAAATATATTTGTTTGTTTTTAATTTAAAATTAAACTCTTATATCGAATAAAAATTATCTAATTTGAGCTGAGAAGGAAAAAAATAACAGATACGTTAGGTAGGTGTGTTCTTTTCCATTCTTAAAAAAAAAACTAACGGATAGGATGATGAGGATGTGAATTTGACAGCCTTGTACCTAACAATGATATTATAATTAAAAAGGTGTAGATAGGTCATTAGCCCTCAGCAAGTACCTAATACATTAAAATGTGGCTAACAAGCCACACTTTTTCATATTATTAATCTATTTTTCACTCGCGATTGTTGAATCATGCCATCTCACTTTGACGTCTAATCATACGAGTTATTCTTGTGTGCATTAGTGTGCCGTTTTTGAAAATCGAATGTTGTTTATTACCACACCATTTTACTTATAATATCATTGACCTTGTATTGTAAGGAATGTTTTATTTGATGTCCGACCTAAAAGAAAATGTCTTACCTCTACAGACCCAAGAATACATAAGTTATTAATGATTGCAGCACAACATTAATATAAAATGTTGTGCTAATAAAAAATGTAGGTAGGTACCTAATGAGATTAAAAACATCAATTTAAATAGGCAAGTTTATACAATAACGATTGAATTTTGCACAACTAAGTATCAGTTTGACTAAAAACTGCGTCAGATGTCAACAAAGACAAAAATATTAATCATAATAATATAAAAATTATACTAGGTACCACTCAAAATGAAATTATCAACAATCAAATTCTCCAAACAACTTTAAATGGCATAAAATCAAATGAAAACGAGCGATACACAAATAATACCGTTTTGTTCAGCCCACTTGTGTTAAACAATAGGTTATATTGGCGCCAAAACCGGGGCGCGTTCCCGCCACTTGACCATCTGTGATTTTTTTTATTCAACGCAATGATCGCTCTGTATTCTGTTTTAAGCATAAAGGAAAATACTTTTTGAACTTTATTCTTTGGTGGATTTTTGTATGAACATCTTTGTTTATGAACTACGAAGTGAGTATTTAATACTCACGGTTCCTCGATAAAAAATTTTTGGTAAGTAGGGAAACTGAAAATGAAAAGTGTCGAAGGATTTGTTTACTATTCTAGGAGAATTCATTGGTTTTTCTCTGGTCTAAAAGTAAAGTATCTACCTGAAGATAGGTAGGTACTAGAGAATGACAGTTTACAACTTCATTCACAAGCAATTGAAATAAATATTTTCTATTCAATTAAGTACCTAAATAATTTTTGGTCCTGTCGATTTAGAATGAATGAATTTTGTTCTGAAAATTCTGTTCTGATTTTTGTTTGTAAAATTAATGTAGGTAGATTATGAATGAATATTGATAACCGGGTACCTACCTATCCACCTACTTCGTCTTATGTTCGGATGAATAATCATTTAAATATAGGCATTAGTGTGTTATTCATATTAATTCTGAAATAAATCCTTATGGAAAATTCAGAGTTGGTCTTAGTTTTAAAAATAATAGGTCTTTACCTATAAAACTGCCGTTTTGCATGAAAAAATTTAAACGAATTTTTTGATTTGAAATGCGTTGAAAATGTATCTAACACTAATCCATAAACAAATGACTACTTTTGGAAAAAAGAATCCCATTCCCATGTTTTTAAAACAAAATTAATTAGCCTTAGCCTAACAAAAACTATTTTGATTTGAAATGGCCAGTACTGCAGAACGGCAATTTCACAGGTAAAGACCTATTATTACCTACAAGGGTAGGTATAAAGTTTAGTATACATTAAACACAAGCAATCAAGTGAGTAATGTAGGTAACGAAGAAGTAAATTAAATGCATCCGTTAAGTGAACAAAGAATACTATGGACATTAATGGCATGAGATGGCATAAATTCAAGAATTTCATTATTCGAAAACTTTATAAATAAGAAATCATAGGTTACCTGAGTTAAAATATTTTATATGAAATGCCTACCTAGTGGATGAATGTATGTTTGTAGCTGATAGAACAGCTTATGGCAGGAAAGTGATGAGCGCCACACTCCCACACCGGATTCCCACAATACCTAGGTACTTGTTTCACTACAAAAGTTACATGGACTTTTCGGTTCTAATATACATAACACCAAGGAGACTTCAAAACAATAAGTTATTCTAATATATCTAATTGTCAGGTACCTAGTCATTAATCGTACAGGCTTGCTCAATAAGTAGGTAATGGAAAATAGCTAAAAAGACTAGGTGAGTAAATTACATACTTAACTTGGTAACAAAATCTCATGCGCATAGGTGCATATCTCATAAACTACCACAGATGGGGACCAAAAATGCTGATGTTCAGCCTGAGTTGCGGGGCAAGCGCAAAACGGTATCGCGGCCTCGGCTTAGAGCAGGAGAAGGAACGGAGGGATTTTAAGACAGTAAGATACCTGACAATTCCTCTCGCCTTATCCTGGGTGACAGAAATCATGCCAAGATTTTCCACCTACCAAAAAAGACCCATCAGTCAGTATTTTCTATTACTAAAATGTACTCTGTGGTCAGTATTTAGATACTAAGAGTAGAGGTAGTAGATAGACCTAATTCTAATCCGCAACTACACGGCTTACTAAAAATATTAATCATTCGAAAAATACCTACAATTAAATATCTAACTAAGCCCATTAATAACCCACAAACGAAAATACGTTTCTATGCAACTTTGCAAGTAATTAAACGGTAACAATGAATTCAAACAAATTAAACATTATTTAATGTGGAATGCGTTTTATTGTCAGCACTTTAGTGAATTTCAATGGTGTAGGGGACGGGGATTATTGTGGCGGTTGCAGTAAGGGGGCGTTTGTATCGCGGCTCGTCAGGGGTGAAATTTATAACTGTGGTCAATTGGTGCGTGGAATAGTTTTATTTTACTCGTGTTGTGATGGGCCTTGTTTTATCTTGATTTCAATTATGTATGTAAGTATGTAGATATGATTATTTATCAGTTATCTTTTAACTATATATCGCATTGATTCGCTTGAAGTTTGTTCACAAATAGATATCTAATTATCTAAGTAGGTAGGTACCTCGGTATCTACTCACTTATAGTACAGATGTAGTTCTATCTATTTATATATTTTTTGATCTGAAGGTACCTTCGTCTGAAGAATAGTAGGGTTTGAATCTAGCATAAAATAATAAACTGGCTGATATTACCTAATTCCGAAAAGAAACAAACATCACATTTACACGTAGAAGTTGTTTCCAGTTTAAACTGAATAAAGAAAAAGATGGAGTTCGTAATATTTTTGTCTTTTCGTTACTTAGGTATCTACTTGTCAAATGCAACGCGACGCCTTAGTAGGTCTTTGTTGACAAACATTAGCGATTTGCAACCTTGTGCTGCCATCTGTTGGCCAGTGAATGGAACCTTACCGCACTGACAGCAGTTAGTGCATGCTGCGTGCAATGAAACTTCAACGATTCGTTCGAAAATGAAAAAGTTAGTTTCTATTCTAAATATTTAAATCTATTTTGCACTGTAATGAATGAGTTATTTAATTTGATACACGTATTAAAAATTATTATTTGCAGACAGCAAAATAATTCTTGAATTTTAAACAACTATTGTTTGAGGTATTATTATTTCTGAACTTAACCTATTACGTCACCGTTATGACAATGACATTGATTAAAGATTGAGGTTATCAAATCAATTTTCAGGAAATAATCTACATAATCTTGATAATTAAGAATAAAATAATGTGTTAATAAGTGTTAGTTCTGTAGAATATTAAGTGTAATTTTGTAAAAATGTGGCAATTGGTGCAAACGGGCTCATGTCAGCTTATTAGACAAAGGTAATTATTCGTGAGCTTATACTAATTAATACTTATAAATAAACATTTATTTACATAGAATACTTACATTAAATCTTTGTTACAGACTGCTTACAGCTAAAAGCAATGTATACTTTACAAATCTTATGAAAAATAGACCGTCGAACGTCGTGAAACGATATTTTTCGGAGGTCAAAACTTCGTCAGATAAAAATGCGAAACCTGGGTTATTACTACTCTGTAGCCCATGGAAGTTGTGTACTGGAGTCAGTTTAGCATTGGGGGCTCGCTATTTTCTGAGCAACGGCCCGGCTTACTGTAAAGCCCACATAGGTCCTTCTAGAATTATTCAAAGAAGGCCCAATGTTGAAGAAGACACAGCGAAATTTGACTGGGATAAATTTCTCTCTTACTTACAACCTCATAAATGGCTTTTAATAGCTGCTATAGGGGTGAGTAAAGCATACAATAATGTACCTTTTAAAAGGAATTATTGTGTTAATGTTATTTCAATTCATTAGTCTAAACTCAGAAATGTGATAAGTGTTTTATCTTACCATTATTTTTAATGTTATTTTTTACTATTCATTTGCTTCTGTGTACAAACACTGTGTTTAAAGTGTGAAACAAATGACATTTCTTTCTTTTTTCTTAAACACCTATTTTCATTTAAATTTCATTGATACCAAATATAACTTAGCTAAATTACAATTAAATAACTTTTTTGTATAATGTATTAATATTTTTTCTTCCAGTCAGCATTAGTCGTAGCATTTTTCAACGTGTACATACCAGCGATGTTGGGAGAAGTTGTAAATGTATTAGCAAGTCAGAGACAGAATCCTTCTGCAGATTTTTTGGATGCCATCAGATTGCCTGCGCTCAAACTGGTTGGCTTGTATATTGGACAGGTAAATATTGTAATTTAATTTATTATAACTTCAACAAGGAGGTTTGTCATTAGTAACATAAATATATACTTTTGTTACCTATTATGTAATTAGTCTGCAAGCCTTCTTAAAATGAATAAATTAAATAAAATAAATCATAATTTTACTAGTCCTAGCAAAGGACCTTGATCTCCTTGGGTTAGAGACAGCAATTTTTCCATTTAACTAATAATGTTGATTAGTAATATCATTTAATTGTGTTTTTTAATTGTTCCTTCTGATGAGTTATTAAGTACATAAGGTTTTATACCCTTAACTAAGGCATCAATGCTATCACTATCATAGAGGTAATATTTAATTCACATAAATAATTTTCAGGCATTATTCACATTTATGTACATCCATCTACTATCACAAGTTGGTGAGCGAGTTGCTGCACAGATGAAGCAGGATCTCTTCGAGTCCATCCTTCAACAAGATATTGCTTTCTTTGACCAGGAGAGAACTGGCGAGCTTATGAATAGGTATGTAAAAAGACTGGTTATTGTAAGTTCGATTTTCGACTGTATATGTAAAATAATTGAGTTTAAAATCTAATGTATATCATTGCACTTTTGTTAACTCTGCTTCCATTAGGTACATCTGAATGTATCTTTAAGTACTATCAACAAAGTTGTACACTGACCATGAGCTTGTTTATAGACATTTAAGTGTATTTAAGTCTTAAGCAGGAAAAGCAATGGGGCAACTTTTGTAAGAGTAAGAGTCTGACACTCCTCCATTTTTGTAAGAGTAAGAGTCTGACACTCCTTCTCATTATACCATGGGCGAAAATTTTTGGTGATTGACCCTACTCATTAAAAAAGGTTTTTAATCCAAGTATCTGATTTTGAATTTGCTTTTTATTGATAAAAAATAATATTCATGATAAGTGAAATTGAAATTCACCGGAGGCCCAATCCTTCCCCGCCCCCAATCCCTCCCTAATCTCCAAATCAACTCGTAACTCCTCTGTTGCGATTGTCCATGGGTAGTTTGCCGACCTATTACATAAAGAAAAAAAAATGCGGTAATACTCAAGCAAAAATACTAACATTTTGTCTTTTTCTTGATTATTGTAAGGACTTTGTTTAATAAAATATTTTCTTTCTGCATTTCAGGCTGACGGTGGATGTCCAGGATTTCAAGAGTTCCTTCAAACAAACAATTTCTGGTGGACTCAGAGCTACTACGCAGGTTAGTTGTCATATAAGCCACCACTATTATAAGCACCACTATAATAAAACAATTCAAAAAGGTAAAATAGATAACATGTAGCTAAGCAAAACTCACACTTATTACACTTGAAATAAATTCCTAAATTGCTTTTCCAGGTGGTCGGTTCTTCAGTCAGTCTTCTAGTAATGTCGCCGCAGTTAACAGGTCTGACGTTGCTCTGTGTGCCTTCGGTAGTTATTGGTGGAACATTCATTGGATCTTTACTTAGGAAGCTGTCTAGAGAGGCGCAGACACAGGTTAGTCAATATTCGACATATTTTTTAATTTTTAAGAGTTTTTTTATTATTTTCAAAGTCTGTTAAAGATCAGACGTAACACCTGATTGTAATCAGTTGAGTTACTAGTATTTGTAGTAGGTTGTTAGCGATTTGGAGATTGAGAGAGTTTGCGTTAGGTAGGCGAAAACTTCCGCTTTGGCAAAAAGCAATATTTAAACACCACTATGGCATGATTTTATTACAAAGGTCGGTCTACCCTATGATATCATAATTAAACTGATCTAGTTCGAGGTACTTTCAAAAAAGTACTAGAACGAAGCGGTTAACCTTGCTTGTACATACATAAATAAGCTCTATAAATTCTCCCAGAGAACTTCCACGTACGAATATATTAAATCAATAAACATAAAATATTACAGATAGAGAAATCAACCCTAGTAGCGGAGGAGGCGATATCGAACATGCGTACGGTTCGTGCGTTTGCAGGGGAAGAAAACGAAGCGCAAATGTTTGCGCAGGAGTGCAAGGCGGCAGCCGAGCTTAGTATGGAGCTAGGACTGGGCATTGGATTGTTCCAGGCGGGAACTAATTTATTCCTCAACGGGTATGTAGCTTAGTTTGTTATAATAACCTTAAGAAAATAGCAGATTTGTAAAAATGGATTTGGTACAATTGACCAATTAGAATTATGTAAGTATAAGGTTATTGTGGAGAAAAAATTTTTGTGGGTAATTTCATGCACATAATTATGGGTCATGAGTGGAAGTGGTCGATTGTACTTTAATTTTTTAAGTTTTGTATTGTCGGTAGTATTGCTATAAATGTGAATTTGTCAGAGGCTAATTCCCAAAAACTTTACAATACATTGCGTTTCAAGCGCGTCTTAAAGAGCCATCAGACCGCAACAAATGAGGTCCATTAGGACGGATGTCAAGCCAGGGTTGCGGGTTCAAGCAATAATATATGATGGCCTCGGCCCGGAGCGGCACAAGGAACGTGGTGGTTTAACACTTCCTTTTGCCCCACACAGGGTAGTAGGAGTCGGATGCTTCCCCTCACCCCCCAGAAAAAAAGTAACCAGTAAACTTATCTGTTATATAGTGATAATCCATGCATTGTTGAACAGGCCCTTAAAGTATTATCTACGATTTCATACCCAATACTAATGCAGGTTAAACTGGTGAAGCGCAATAATGCACCGCGGCCTCGGCTTATAGCAGGAAAAGAAACTGGGTGATTTTAAGTCAGTAAGATTCTGACACTCACTCTTGCCCCAACCAGACCGAAAGACACCCTTCTTCTTCGTCAATAAAAAATCTACTACTAAAAAGAAACAAATAGCTACAGTTACCTTAATTTTGTAATAGAGAACTAGATAATTTTATATTATAAAATATAAATGCAAAATGCAAAAATATTTTTTTACGAGATTGGTCGGCAAATCATCTGATGATAAGCAATCGGGGCCGCCCATGGACACCCGCAACTCCAAATGAGTTAAGAGCGCGTTGCCTCCTTTTTAGGTGATAAGGGTTTCGGATATTTAAGGATTGGCAAGGGATTGGGAGAATGGCTGCACGGTTGGTGCGATAGCTGGGCAATTGGCTGCCGTGCAACAAGTCGCGGGTTCGATTTCCGCACGGAACAACTCTTTGTGTGATCTTAAAATTGTTGTTCCGGTCTGGGTGTCACGTGTATGTGAAATTGTATGTTTGTAATCGAACCCAAGGCACAGGAGGAAATCCTAGTGCGGTACTACGTTTTTATAAAAAAGAGAAAGGAAAAAAAGAATGGGAGGAATTGGGCTCCCCCCTCTCCCAGTTTCCAGGTTTATAACTTAAAAAAATATTTTTCTCTTTCAGTATGGTGTTAGGTACAATGTTCATGGGTGGGCATTTAATGGCGTCTGGGCAGATGTCTGCCGGTGACGTCATGGCGTTTCTCGTCAATGCCCAGACTGTACAGCGGTCTGTCGCGCAACTGTCATTATTGTTCGGATCTGTCGTGAAAGGAATCAGCGCTGGTGGCCGAGTGTTCGAGGTTAGATCTTATTTCTATTAGCTTAAAGTTTAATTTGTTTAGAAAAATTATACTTGCTGATGGACGCGTGTTAAGGACTAGATTTTATTTCTATTAGCTTAAAGTTTAATTTTCTTAGAAAAAATATACTTGTTGGCGTACGCGTGTTCGAGGTTAAATCTTATTTCTATTTGCTTAAAGTTTAATTTTCTTAGAAAAATTATACTTGTTGGCGGACGCGTGTTCGAGGTTATATCTTATTTCTATTAGTTTAAAGTTTAGTTTTCTTTTGTAAAAGTTATGTTTTTGTTAAGTATTGTAGATAATAAGACGGGAATCACAATCAGAATCAGAATCAGAAAGTTTATTTGTGAAACATAGGTATTTACATTTAGATCTTAGGTTATATAATATAGGTGCGCTATGTTTTGCCGTGAAGGCGTACAAATATTAAATAAAATGAAAGAACTTTAACAATTAAAAACTACATACATAAGGAAAAAAAAACAACAAAATTAAACTCTTACATGTTAAAAGGACCTATTTGTTTTAAACTATTATAATGTATAATCAAAACTAACACAATAAAGAAACAGTTTTAAAAAATCTCTAAGCAGTCTTAAAAATCTTACTCATAGGTTTCTAACTAATAAATTAATATTATAAACTATCATTTAAAAAATCTTCTACAGTATAATAACACTTTTCCATTAAGAGTAGGTAGAGTATCTTCTTAAATTTAACTAAGGGTAATTGTTTTATGTTGTCAGGTATTTTATTATAGATTTTCGGAGCCATGCCCAAAAAAACCCTTTTTACTTAAAGCGGTTTCGCATTTTAAGTTGCACAGTTTATTTGCATATTGAGAACGCATTGGAGTTTTTTTAACATTAGCGAGTTTTTGAAATAGATGCAGATTGATTTTGACAAACAAGGCAGTTTCGTAAATGTACATACCAGTAAAAGTCAATAATTTTAAAGATTTAAAGTATGGTTCACAAATTTCGGTAGCTTTTAAGCCACACATGGACCGAATACATAGTTTTTGCGCTTTAAAAACCGATTCTCTTTCAGAAGATTGCCCCCAAAAAATAATTCCGATCCTCAGAACAGATGCAACCAATCCGTGATATGCTAATAAAAATGTTACATAATGATTGACATTTCGATATTACGGGTTACATAATGATTGACATTTCGATACTACGGGTTACATAATGATTGACATTTCGATATTACGGGTTACATAATGATTGACATTTCGATATTACGGGTTACATAATGATTGACATTTTGATATGAAAAGACATCAATAAATGTCCTTGAAATGATATGAGGAAAAATAATGTTACTATTGTGCTGAAAATTCATAAAAACTCCACAATGTTTGACTTTCACTGCACGGTTGGCGCCGTCGCTGGGCAAACTTTTTGTGCTCCAGAAATTGTTGTTTCGGGACTGGTTGTGATGTGTATCTGAAATTGTATGTTAGTGTAATATGTAAGATAAAGGAGATAATTCTAGTGTGGGGACCATTTAAAAAAGTGAATGAAAGTATGCTTATTTTTCATTATTTTTTAATTATGCATATGAAGGCACCGGGGGGTTGGTACAAACATCAACATCCCGATCATCGTCTTCACAGTCCATCGCAGGGCGTAGGATTTTATAATCAGGCCGAATAAATTACAAAAATAACGGACGTCGGCGATCCGTCTTGGATGACAGTCACAACGCTCGCTCTCCACCATAATGCGCACTCAGAACTGTCAGTTTGACGTTCCGCCAGAATACGAATTATTGTACCCTCGTCCGATGAATTGTAATAAAACCTCCTTCAAAATTCAATTTAAATAATCGACGCTCCGTCACATACCTATAACAATAACTTCTATTTAGTATTTTCAAAACAAACCTCATATGAATGAATAGGTATATTATTTTGCACATACCGAAAAAAAGGATTGAATTTCCCTGTTACCTACATCATAATATACGATTTAATTGATGATTTGATTAATTACCTACATAATAATATGTCACCATACTATTGATTGATTGATTGATCATTATTCATTAATATTTCCAGTACATCAACAAGAAGCCAGTGATGGACAGTTCTGGTACGAAGGTGATCAGGTACCACGAGTTCCATGGAGACATAGAGTTCAAGGACGTCACGTTTGCTTACCCTAGCAGACCAGAAGCGGTGAGTCGTATTTATATAATGGTTTGCTTTTTCTTATCTTTTAAACGCCATATCGGTCGCCGGTGACCTTCGATAGCGGAGGAAACCTCGATTTTAGCTGCATCAAGTAACATATTTATTTTAAGTGTGGAGACCCTTGTTGTGGCATGAATGGGTCGGCTCGATGGGATTGATACCACGGCCTTACCTCTCTTAGTTCTAACCAGCGTGAAATAACCACAACGTAGGTTGAAGCCCCAATCCTTTCTTCCCTTCCCCCTATCTCCAAATCTCCGTAACCCTGATCCCAAAATAAATTCTCTATTTTTTTATGTTTTATTCAGTAACTTCTTATAACCATAATAGTAACCAATTAAGCATATATTAATATTCGAATGCTGTGTAATAATCAAATTTCAGATATATGTATGTCTAAATTAAGCCTATTGCCTTTGTCTATAGTCAATTACAGATTTATAAGCATTTAAAAATGCTCAATGATTACTTTACTTTTTACTCTACATGCCCGTTGGAACCAGTCAATCGCGTTAACGATCAATCGACCAACGAAACAGAGTAAAAATGAAATACAATAAATAATAAATTAATTTTATTTTTACAGACAGTACTGAAGAACTTCAACCTAAAGATACCGGCTGGTAAGACAGTGGCCATTGTTGGTACATCTGGCAACGGCAAGTCTACCATAGCTGCTCTGTTAGAGAGGTAATTTACATTAATATTTTAAAGAAGAAAAATATGTATTTTTGTGTGTATGTTTGTAATGAGTAAATTCGTAAACTACAAATCATTTCCTAAAATCACTGGGGAAGCTACTTTAATTCTGGGTAATATAAGCTGTATTTTTTGCTAAGAAAGATTTCGGATCCTTACTAAAATGTTAGTAATGAAAACCGTGGAAGGACAGCTCATTTTCTTTATTTTATTAAAAAAAAACGTATTTGCACACGTATATTCTATTTTGTTTTGAATCTGAAGTTTAAAATAAAAAAAAAATATTTTCTTTATTCCATAAAATGAAACAGAAAGCATTAAAAAAACACGTTGCCCTACACTAGGATTTTCTCCTGTGTGAGAATGCACATACACAAGCCACCGAGACTCAGTTCCGTGACGGAAACGAACGCGCGACACGCTACACAGTAGCCAGTTGCCCAGCCACTGCGCTAACCGTGTAGTATTCGTTTATTTTGTTATTTACAAATATTATTATTATTAATATTTATTTGAATTTTAAATAAAAGTTGATTTTCGTTATTGGTTTACCTACTACAAGAACATATAATACCTTCCAGGTTTTACGACGTGAATGCTGGCCAGGTAACAATAGACGGTATAGATGTGAAAGACATGGACTGCAAGTGGCTGAGGGGCAGAGCCCTGGGCATCATCAGCCAGGAGCCTGTACTCTTCGCCACCAGCGTCAAGGAGAACATCCGATACGGACGTCCAGAGGCTAGTGATGATGAGGTAAATTGTTTTATTTACACATTTCCTCATAAAGTGGATCTAATCTCACGGCAATTGGGTAGTTTCCTAGGTCAAAAATAAATTAATTCAACGTTTCAATACAATAAAATATTTAAAAATAACTATACATTTATCCATCGCTTGATTAATACTCTTAAGTTTTAGATTTTTTTATAGCTAATTATTAAGAAATAAGTAAGCTATTTGACGCAAAAATGTTATGACGTCGTAACTCAGTTTTTCATACAAATTTCATAGAAAAGTATCGTTTTTGACGTTTGGATAAAAGTATTGAATTTGACCAGTTGGAAACTACCGTATTAGGCACGTCATGACACCTATTACTGTGACTTTTTCACAAGTGAGTAATAGAGTTATTTTTTTAAATTATCGGTTGACTTACACTTGCGCTATCAAATCAAATCAAATCAAAAATCATTTATTCCAACTAAACCATAAATAGGTACTTTTGAAACGTCAAAATAGAATAGTAGTCTGTCAGTCTGTTCGTCAGTTCAGTTTCGAATGGAGAAGAACGAGCAAGAAACTCTAATATGAAATATTTGTTTTACAATTCACCAATAATACATTTTTTATACATTACTGTACCCCTATGTGAGAACAATTCAGAGACGAGTTGTTAATAAAAAGGAACAAATGATGGTCTGTCTAATCTATCATTAAAATTTTAATCCTTTGTTGTCTCAAACATGATTAAGCTAAAATGCAATAAGCGAATATCCCCAAAAAAAAAAATACAGTATTTATTAGCCTATGGCCGATGCGCGTGCATAAGAATACTGATTATTTTTTCGCCGTAATAATTATATGCATATTTTTACTAGGTATACAGAGCAGCGCAAACAGCGAATGCACATGAGTTCATAGTGGGCTTTCCCGAAGGTTATGACACTCTAGTTGGTGAACGGGGGATGTCTCTCAGCGGAGGACAGAAGCAGAGGATAGCCATCGCTAGAGCCGTGCTCAAGAATCCACCAGTTCTTATATTGGATGAAGCTACAAGGTACCGTAATCCATGGTTGTATATTGTTCAATAATATTGATCGCGAGACATAATTATCTAAAAATGAGAGCTCCGGTGTCTCGCTTGAAACTAGTCGAGCATGCTCGAAAAGTAATGTCACTAAGCCGTATGGTCTAAACTTTCACTTTAACGGCTTTTAGTATACAGGGTGTAAGGGACAGCCCTCCACAAATTAACAGGGTGCATTCAGCTCCTTATTCTGAATCATATTCCAGTGAAAATTCTTTCAGGAAAATTTTCAATTTTTTTTTCGTTTTTTCAGTTCCTACACCTCTATTTCAATGTATAATTACATTCTATGTATGAAGAATAACATTAATGTGAATAAAACAGCTAAAACAAAAAAATACGCAATGGTTGTGTGAATTCTCTAAAGAACTACGCATGAAATCAGCTGTTCAATTTCTACCTAGCGCGAGTCGTTTGAACTCACCGCACCGCGGTCACGGCGCATCGGCTCGGCGCCCCACCGCGCCGATCGCCGCGCCGCGCGCCCTAGGTATAATACCTACGATCCCGTCCAACGTACAGAATAGCTGCGTCCCTTTCTATCGCCCCGCCTCCGCGTCTCCCCGTCTCCCCGATTCTTTGCACAATGTTTGCCCGATTGAACCAGTGTTGCCAATTTTTAACTTTTGTTACCTCAGGTAGTAAACGAAAATGTTAGAACTAGCGAAATTTATCTAAAACTTGAGAACTCCTTTGCATTCATAATTACGTTGATGAGATTTTCATTAATCAATTAATGAAAATCTTATCGCGCACATAAATTGAATAAGAAATAAATAAAGATTAGTCTAGTTTTAATTTTAAAGCATTTACAAATACTACCTAATTTATTAATTGATTGTTCTTTTTAAGCGATTACTGGCTAGTTTTTAAACTACTTACAGATTTTTACATGGCTTCACAATAGCCATGAATTGATAGTCGAGCCAGAAATAAAACACAATCTCCCTGGAATGGAAGCACAGCTTTCTATCACACTGCACTTTTATTATTCTAAATTAACTAAACAATGAAATTAGAATTAAATTGATTTAATCAATTCATTTCTCTACAAAAAATAACAGAATGATAAATTACGACCATGCATAATTTTTTATTTTTTACCCCGAAATTTTGTAATTTTCGTGTAATTGGCAACAACAGATTTATGTTTGTGTGTGTCTCATCACATGCAGTCGCCATTGTGCCTTGTTGCGATGTTATTGTTTGTGTACCGCGAGCGTGTATCGGTACGGATCGCTCGCGCATTCGGCTTAAAAGTTTTGTTATAAGTAGTGTTGTTAAGTTTTATTAGTTATGTAGTGTGTGAAGTGTAGTGAAGTTTTGTTGTAGAAATTGTGCGAAATTACTACCTAGGTACGTTTAGCGCGCGTGATTATGGGGAGATGATAATGTGTTGTAGTAGTGTAGGTATCCTGACCGTCGCCATCCATCAGACTCCAGGATAATTACTGGTGACTATCAACGCTTGCTTGAAAACCAGCCCATTGTTCCCAGACAAAAAGGCGCCGGAAGACCAATACCTACGTGGATTTTGGAATTGGTTCGCTAACGTAACGAGACGCTACCACTTATTAGTGCTTTCCTATTTAAACGTAGTTTAGGTAGGTTTGGACCGCAACCGTGGCCAGCACGATCCCCAGACCTAACCCATTTGGACCCCTTTTTGTGGGGTTACGTAAAAGAAAAAGTGTTTGTGAGTGCGTGTGCAAGTGAGTACGAAATGCGAGACCGCATCACAAATGCTTTCCAGAGCCGGAAACCGGAGCGATTCTAAGGTACCTACGCATTTTTCTTTTTTTATCATTATTCAGTTACCATGTTATGATTGTTAGAATTTCTTTTGTTAGTAATGCGGCTATCTTTTAAATAATAATTTATTGTTATTAAAACGTGGCGCGAGCGCGATTATTAAATTGTCTTTTGTAAGTAATGCGGTTATCTTGTAAATAATAATTTATTGTTATTAAAACGTGGCGCGAGCGCGACCGTTTGTCCGAAAGGTAAGGTCGCGGCGCTGCCCATAGTGTAAAGTAATAATACTAAAAGCGCTGCCGTTCGCTGCGTGCGTTTGCGGTGGTAGCGATACATTGCGTGTAAGGTAATGAAACAAATCGGTTTAATTGGATTCCCATAACGTTCCTGAAATAATTTCATGTACCGGTCAACTTAAGACGATGTACTGAATCCACCCTATCAGTTTGCGGAAGGCTGTCCCTTACACCCTGTATTAATCCTTTGTCGAATTTCGAACCAGTATTTCCTGATATTAGCGCCTTTATCAAGTAAAAAAGGAACAAATTCTCAAGCTTAAGGATATTAATACTTATATACTTACTTTGAAACTTATTAGTAAACTAAGTATGAACTCTGTTGAATTTTGAGCTTTCACACATTGTAATACAGTTCAAAATCAAAGTACCCAGTAATCATTTCGGATTAAAAAAATGTATTTTACAAATTCAAATTCTTTATTAGCATTCCATATATTAAATAACCGGTAACAGGGATTAGACTCAATATGGACCCAGTATGGCACAGCTTAAAGATATTATGCAGTAATATAATTTGTAAACTTTCTTTCCAGTGCCCTCGACTCGGCGAGCGAGAAAGTAGTACAAACAGCGTTAGAGACTGCGGCTAAAGGTCGCACCGTACTGGTGATAGCTCACCGACTGTCCACTGTCATGAATGCAGACCTTATCGTCGTGCTGAACAAGGGAAATATTGTTGAGGTAATGTATTAATAGTTTTTCTACCTACTACTAGCTGTTTTGCCTGCTTTACTTGGATCAAAAGTCCTTGTGGTATTACAGACCATAGTTTAATGTGTGATAAATTAAATTCAAATCCATTCTGTAGTTTTTACGTGAAATATTTTATATATTTATTAAGCTGTATACACACAAACTTTTCTACATAGGCGGAATTAATGCCGTAGGCATTATCTATCAGTCTGACCTTTGGGTGATGCAGAGATGAGTAAAAACGGTGAGCGCAAGCACCAAATAATTTGAAAGATTAAAGACAAAACATAACTCAATACAATAATGTATAAGTTTAAATAATGTACAAATACATTAACAATATAAACTTACATAAACTAATAATACATATAAATTATGTATAAATAAATATAGAACACTAATATAATTATATAGATACTACATATATATTCAAAAATATTCATATATCTATACTTAAATAACCTTTATATGATACTTGTAACAATAAATCATAGGATGATTAATTGTTAAGTGTAGAAGAGTCAAGCTACAAATGCTCTGGCTCGACAGAAGTGATACAATGGTCTCACAGAAAACAAGCGGCATTAGTAGTCGCACTAAAGTTAAAAATCTATTAAATAATTGTTAAACTTTATAATAACTATCGTGAGACATACTAAATCAACTAAAATCGCGGGTTACTCACGTGTGTAAATTGAGAAAAGCTCGACTAGTTTCGAACCACAGAGGGGTTCTTCCTCATGAGCAGCGTGCGCGGACGCGACCGACGCAACCCCTTTGTGGTTCGAAACTAGTAGAGCTTTTCTCAATTTACATGCGTAAGTAACCCGCGATTTTTTGTTAATTTTTAATTGTTAAACTTGTGTGGGAGCGCCGTGTTTTGGCACAAATGATGTGGCTTGACCGGCTTGATACCACGGCCTAACAGAAAACCGACGTGGAACAACCACAGCGTTGAGTTTTGCCGTGTGACTGAGATTACCAGAGGCCCAATCTTTCCCCTCCCCCCATCTCTACCCAATTCCTAAATTTATGAAAGCCCCCGTTTCCATAATCTCCAAAATGTCGGCAACGCACTCGTAACTCTTCTGATGTTGCTGGTGTCCATGGACGGCACTGATTGTTTTCCATACTTACTTTCATCCTATAAGTGCCCACTGTTGAGCAAAGTCTTCTTCTCACACGGAGAAGTTTTGAGCTTTAATCACCACGATTGCTTAAGGCGATTTGGAACTTCGAAATTTGAAATTAGATGTCCTGGATTCCTCACCGTGTTTACCTTCAACGTATGACAGTGGTGTCTAAATAATCATAGAAAGTAAGTATAACTCGGAAAAAGTCACATTGACACTTGTTTTAACATCGGGGCCACCACGACTGTTTCAAAATTATGTTGTTAACAAATTAAATGCACCTAGACTACAAATGTATAAAAATAGCCCAGAATACCGCAGCATTCAAATCTATAACAAGTTACCTGAGGAAATACGGTCAACCAAAACTCTCTGTATATTTCAATCTAGAATAAAGTCCTTACTACTTAAAAAATCTTATTGTAGTATTCAGGAGTACCTTGAAGATAAGAATTGTAGTTATAGTTGCAAAATTGTTCCTCGATTGTAATTTAAGTTTTACGGTGAATTTATTTTAAACTCGTACCTCATAATTATTTATTTAAATAATTATCTAAATAATTCATCTCTGTCGCACTTACCGGGAAGCAGCCACGCGCCGCGACTTTCGGAACACCTGCGTCGAATTCGTGGAATCCACCCGCTTAGCACTAATTGTTTACAATTGTTGATACCTACCAAAAAACTAAGCAATAATGACAAATAACTGTGCGTCGTGTCAAAAGCCATTAAGGTCATCAAGCATAAAATGTTCAAAATGTGATCTTTCTTTTCACATTGTCTGTGCTAATGCCAGTAACCAAAGTAGATTAAATAGCGAAACCAAATTGAATTGGATCTGCCTCCCTTGCCAGAATAAAGGAGCTAAGAATATAACTACGCCTGTGAGAGCTGAAGCACCTTCTCCTGGCGAGATGTTTAAGAATTCCACTGCCCCCTCAAGCAATAAATCGGACCAAGAACTCAGTACAACCCATAGCGTACCTTCTAATAACAATATGTCTGACTCGGAGATATTGCGGTCACTTAGCTCTGAGATGCAATTATTACGTGGAGATGTCGGGGACTTAAAGTCCCACATTAAGTACTTGAACGAGCATCTAACGCAATGCTACTCGCGCCTTGACGAATACGATACTCGAATCAAAACATTAGAAAAGCGCGAAGCGGAGATTATCACACTGAATAGCACTATAGTCAATCTTCGGGAACAGTTAAACAATCAAGCTCAATTCGCTCTAAAAAACGAGTTAGAGATTAGTGGTATCGACGAGCACAAAAACGAAAACCCAATGCACATTGTTCAAGTGATGGCCTATAAAATCGGTGTAACAATAGAGGAACAAGATATCGACTTCGTAACTCGTGTAGGACCTCGTCGCCAGAAGGCGGCTCACAGCTGATACCCCGACTCGCAACCTTGCTGTGCGATTTGTACGCCGATACAAACGGGATGAGTTTCTAAAAGCTGCGAAAACCAGAAGGTCACTCACCTCTACAGACATAGATATAGCCGGACCTATGAGAAATATTTACGTAAATGAACGCCTCACGGCTGCGAACAGGCAGTTATTTCGCGCTGCCAGAAATTCTGCAAAAGAACATGGCTACAAATGCTGCTGGATCAGAAACGGTGCCATACTCATACGCAAACAAGAAGGTAACCCTGCTATTCACGTTCAAAGTCTGGATGACCTGGAACGCCGCATCGTACGTGCACCGACTGTTTTGGCAGAGACTGTGCCTGAACAGCACTCACAGTGAGGCGCCACTCCCAGAAGAAAAAAAGTACAGATCTCTTTATACTATTTTATTTTTTTTAACTATCTTTATTTTTTATTGTATTTTCAAATATTATTTCAGTTTTTTAAGTCCCTCTTATTGTATGCTGCCACTAGTAGCTCGCTATTCGTTAAGAAGGGATGGATTTACTCTGTTATTATTACTTTATATAACACATTGTGATGTCTGGATAAAATACAACATTATTCCCCTGCACCGAAATATAATAATTTTCGCTAATCTCAAAATAAGAATATATTATCTCGATTTATGTTTAAAACATCTCATTAATTCTGTTTACCAATTTTTTACAAAACGTATTTTTTATAATCTCTTAACAATATACTGTGATTCATGTGTCAATAACTACTTTAGCACTTACAAATTACTATTAATAATACTCACAACAAAAACATCTTATTACACAACATTAACACATAAAACAACACTCACACTAGCTCTCACTAAAACACCTGGACACTACATATACTTTTATGGATACGCGTGCTTTACGAGTACATACAACGTACAAACATCATCGAAAGGCCCACTCATTTACTTCAATAACAAGCACCTTATGTTACATAACACTAGGAACATACAATTTTCCTTACATCTGAAAACTAACTACTTGATAGTGACATTTTACATCAATAATAAAAACTACGTAATTTTTACCAAAAAATATTTCAACTTCACCTATGACTTTACTTGACTTTATTAAAGATGTCGATAAAAACGTAATAATAAAATGTCACACATGTAATAACTTAGAAGACTGTAGGGGACTAACACAAAACAACCACAACAATTTTAAAGTGCTAAACTTTAATATTAGGAGCTATCAACGGAACTTTGACAACTTCTACATGGCGGTCAAACGACTTGATAGTGACTTCGACGCTATTATCCTAACCGAATGCTGGTTAAATGAAGGAACAATTCTAGAACCAATACCAGGGTACTCAGTGTCTCGAACTAATGAGCAATTAAACAAAAATGGCGGCATTGTTATATACACAAAGTCTAGATACAATATTACTACACTAGAACATACAGTCGCAGATGCGGACAGCATTCTTCTTACAATTGATAAAAAACTTGCACTACTAGGAATCTACCGTTCACCATCATATGCGAACATAGACAACTTCACATCCTCTTTAGACACAGCTCTTCTCGAAATTAAAAGTATCCCAACAATAATACTAGCCGGTGATCTAAACATTGATCTATGTAACACGACCAACCACCGACATACTGAATATCTATGCCTACTAGCTTCACATGGTCTTCTACCAGCGATTACAGAACCCACCCGAGAGCATACGTGTTTAGACCACATATTTATAAAGTCACACCATGAGTCAATTGGAGTCATAGGCAAATGCTCTATAACAGATCATGACATGGTAATGGCTTCCATATCACAAAAAAACAACTACAAAGATTGCACCAAAACCCGATGGAGACTAAAAACAGACGACGATGCGGTGGCTGCAGCTATAGGTAATACTGACTGGACTGTAATTCTTAACTCCAACTGTACAAACACTGCTATAAACCATCTACTAAACACACTCTCAGCTGCAATTGCAAAAAACTCCCGGAGGATCAAAATCAGCCGCAGTAAATTTACAATCAAACCTTGGATGACTCCAGGCTTATTAAGGTGTATTAAACATCGCGACAAACTCCACTTAGATGCAAGATCTCATCCAAATGACGAAATGCGTCAACTTGTGTATAAAAGGTATCGAAATTACTGTAATGACCTGTTACATAAACTCAAAACTAAATATAACTCAGAAGAAATAAATAAACACCGTAAAGATCCAAAAAAGCTCTGGAATTCTATAAAATCATTATACTTCAACAATATCAAAGATGACTCGTCGCGATTGCTCGTAAATAACCATTATCCAGTCAATTCACTAAATAAATGTAACGAATATTTTACGTCACTAGGCAAAAATCTATCAGACCTTATATTATCAAGACTCTCCGAGACGCAATCATCCTTAGCCAATAATTATACACCCCCAGAAAGTCCTTCACACTCATTCTTCTTCCACCCAACTGACGAAATAGAAATAGAAAAGTTTATTCATCAACTTAAAAAAGACAGTGCTCCTGGACTAGACGGAATCAGTACGCGGCTAATAATAAAATTGAAAAAGACATTACTTAAACCACTTGCACATATATTCAACTTAAGTTTGGAGAATGGAATTTTTCCGGATTGCTGGAAGATAGCTTGCATCCGACCTATACATAAAAGCGGTTCCAAAGATTTACCAGAAAACTACCGACCAATAGCACTATTACCAATACTATCAAAACTTCTAGAGAAAGTTGTCAACAGTCGATTGGTTAGCTTTCTTGAAAAACACAATTTAATATCAAATAGACAGTTTGGTTTCCGAAGTGGTAGGTCCACAGAAGATGCTGCAACACTACTTACTAATTCAATAGCCACTTACATAGAATCAGGGGAGCACGTCATAGGAGTTTTCTTAGATCTAGCCAAAGCTTTTGACACTATATCTGTTAACCTTCTTTTATCTAAACTAGCGGGAATAGGAATACGCGGCAATGCATTGAGTTGGTTCACGAGCTATCTCACAAATCGTCAGCAACTAGTTAAGGTGGGAGACGTAAGTAGTGGCCTGCTACCAATTAATTTCGGCGTTCCTCAGGGAAGTACTCTTGGCCCTACTCTCTTCGCCTTCTATATGAACGACGTACTTAATGCTTCAATACCTAACGCTGAAATCATCTCATATGCAGATGATACAGCTATTATTCTCCACGACAAAACCTGGGAACATGTATATCAGCTTGCTGAGAGAAGCCTCACTACTGTAGCTGGTATTCTCGATAAAAATCTCCTTACACTTAATATAAAAAAGACAAAACACATAGCATTCTCAAAGACACCAGCCTCCGGTCCTCCACGACACTTAATTCTTAAATTTCATACATGTAGCAGCGCACACAATTTACCATCACTTGCAGACTGTAGCTGTTCAACAATAGAACGCAGCTCTACACTCAGATACTTGGGCATAACAATAGACGAAAACCTATCTTTCAAAGCACACATCAGCACGCTTTCAAGCCGAATGAGAAAATTCATCTACGTCATGAAGAAAGTCCGTGACTGTACTCCTATCCCAGTCCTACGAACGTTATACCTTGGCCTATGCCAATCTGTCCTCCAATATGCAATAGCCGTCTGGGGTGGAGCAGGGAAAAGTACATTCCTTGAAATAGAAAGAGCTCAAAGATCTGTAATAAAAGTGATGCTTAAGAAACCATTTAGATACTCAACAGACGCACTTTACAACGAATTTCCTGTACTACGTGCACGAAACCTGTACATCCTAAACGCCACACTTCGTGCACACACAGCTGTAAAACATAGACCTGATTACCACATTCTTATCTCTAAACGCATATTATACGTTCCACCTCCCAATGTCACCAGCCTCTTGGCTAGGCGTTGCCCCTTTTACTCGCACATCCGCGTTTACAACAAAATTAGCAAACGCTGCGACATAAAAGGTTTAAGCACACAATCCTGTAAGAAGACTGTCCAAAAACTATTGCTCACATTATCCTATAGCGACATTGAGGAATTGCTAAGCTAATAGTTTAACCCTCCTTTCCATGTCCCAGACTTTTCACATGTCGCACCCACGAATATGCACGCACGCACGCACACATACACACACACATACAGACATACAGACACACACACACACACACACACACACACACACACACACACACACACACACACACACACACACACACACACACACACACACACTTTTATTATTATTGTTACAATTATTAATCCAGCCAAATAACTTTTGTCCACACTTACGCTAGCAAATGTTTGTTTTTATAATTTATGTTACCATAACTCAGGTCCTCAAGATACAGGCATAGCCTAGTTTGGGGACCACTAATATTAAAATAATGTACCGGCACTCATAGTTACAATATTTTATAATGTAAGTTACTACGATAAGGACCTAATGTACCTAATTGTAACAAGTGGACTAATTTATTCTTATTTATTTTATATGATATTAATGTTCTTTGCTTTTCACTTAATTTTATTATGCTTTTACCTTTTGTTTTCTAATATTTGATTTCGTCCAAGGATTTTGTGTTTTCATGTGTAAAATTATAAATATAAAATGGTTATTATATAGGTAATAGTTATTATATGGGTAACACTATAGAATTGAATAGTTATTATATGTATAGGTAACAGTTATAGCTTTAAGAAGTAGTAATAATTTTTAGCTAACTTTAATTACGTAGTGAGTTAATGTGAACTACTTTTTATAATAATGCATAAAAGTGTTTGTGATATTGAAGTGATAACTAATGTAATAAAAAATATAACATGTATTATTATCTAGTTATAAGGTAAATTGCTGCGCCCTAACAGGGTAATGTACTGTACTGGCTGTATGTTATACTTGACATTATATGTACATTGTGCAATATGAATAAATAAATAAATAAATTTTGTTTACAGATGGGTACCCACTCTCAGTTGAAGAAACTTAAGGGTTTCTACTGGAACCTCATCAAGCAGCAGGATCAGTCGGCTGAAGCTAGCGTGGGATTATGAAGGCATTAGAATGTACTATACAGGAATAAAAACTAACGCGGCAGTACTTGGCGTGTACCAAAATTGAATTTCAAAAATGCATTCATAAAATAGGACATAGTATATATATGATAAATAAATGAAATTGAATACTTTTGATGTCCAAGTACAAGTATCACGCTTTAATTCATTGCGTAATATATAAACTCAATATTAAAATTTTTGTCCAAGACTATGTTCAAGAAATAATTCGGTAGTTTCCAACTACTAGTCAAATTCATTACTTTTATTTAAATGTCAAAAATGATGCTCTTCAATGAATTTTGTATGGCATTCGTAACATAATTATGACGTCATAATTTTGTTACGCCAAATAGCACGCTTATTTTTATAAAGTAACTGGATACAACTGAAATTAGGTACATAGTCAAATCAATGAATAAAGGTATGATTATATTTTAATAATTCATTGTATTGAAAAGTCTAAATAATTTATTCTTGACCTAGGAAACTAACCTATTGTACGTAAAAACTGTATAGAAAACCGTTGATTTTGAAAGTTGGAATGTAGTTCTGAATTACACTAGTTGTCTAATATCAAATTGACGAATAGTGTGACATACCAAAGAGTTTACGTGAAGACATCTAGCAGAGGAGAAGAGCAAGAAAAAATATTTTATGTTAATGTTTAACTGTTAGCAATCTGTTGACGTGGAACCGTACTTGTTTTAGCTACGCTAAGCTGAGCTAGGACTCATTATAAATCGTACTTTTTTCATCAGGACATATGTTGCGAAGTGCTGCTCACGAATATGAGCCCCTGGCATGGCTTGAAACTTGTCAATTTACGCGCAAATAGGAACGCGAGAAAGTCGTTTTAAATAATATTGTGTCTTATGGGACTTCTGTGGCTTTGCACGCGTTTAAAAGTAATGTATCATGGGATTTAAGAAACACAGCGCTTAAAGCGATAGCTCTACTAAAATACGCAAAACAAGTATAATTTATAGCCTTACAGTACTCAGAAACATTGTAGCTATCTATCAATGAAAGAATTTTGGAAATCCATACAGTAGTTCCAAAGATTACCCCCTACATAAAACTCACAAATGTTACCTCTTTATAATATTAGTATAGATTGAACAAACAGCAAATAACTTATGAAGAGAAAAGCAATATATATTTAGATATTATAGAACGTAGTTTAAAAAATACGCTACACAGTAGTCCAAATAAAAGGCTTTATACAAAAAAAAAAAATAGTGAAATGACAAAGTAAATATTGTATATTGCTAAGGAGCAAAGGTTATAAGAATTCTTAACATTAATGTATTATTTTAAACTTTCGATGAAACTTTAAAATTATTTTGAAATCATATTTTTGACAGTTGACAGTTGTGAAAAGTGACAGTTGACAGAAGAAGGTCAGTGACGTTCCTATTGTTAATGGAATCAAATAAATGGTTTTAGCTAAATAATGGTCTTCCCGTCCCATTTTCTCATACATTCTGTTTCGTAACTTTCATATAAGTTTGGCGAATTTATTATTCGAGTCTTTCGAAGATTGTGACTTATTTTGTTGAAGTTAATGGTCAAAAAAGTACTTCTAATGTCTCTGACGTTATAGTTTATTTAAAACTAGCTTCCTTACAACCGCTACTTGTACAGAATCTGTTACATACATTAAGATGATATTATTTTTCTGACCAGAAGGCTGGCAACACTGCCAAATTTGATATTCAATGTTTTTATTGTACTTATGTATATTGTTGATTCTTGATTTTTTAAAACAAATGGCTACCTATAATTGCTAGTGATTAGTTTTAAGGGTAATAATTTATTATTTTTTAATAAAATTTTAGGTAATTGCAGAGTCTAGGAAAGTTGTCATTGAAGTTAAGTATGATATAGAGATATAGCTATGCTTCGACATTCAGCCGTAATGCCGAATGATGATATTATTGGCTCACAGAAAACCGGCTTGAAACAACGTTTGCATTTTATCACGTTGATATTTTTTATACCCCTATGTGATACCTAAGTGTTTTTCACCGTTAACATTTTTTTTTTCGAAATAGCTATGGGTCGGTAGGGTCGGTAGTTAATTTGTCGATAGTACATTGTCGTACATTCAATGTCAATTTATTTTATATATAAAACATAGTGTTTTATAAGTGGACTTAATGGCATAGGCATTCTCAACAGTCGACCTTTTGGTGTAGATAAAATATGGTAAGGACAACAAAGAAACAAACTTGAAACAATAAACTTTGATTTAATGTTACCTTATTGTCCTTATAACACAAATTCCTAAGCCCCTATAGGCTGGAAACACTCGGTCCGGGGATATATCACTTAGGTACGTTTACGCCACAACGAAAAAACAAGTTCGTGTTGTTATTGTGAATTAAATTTTTATGATAAGAGTTTTGTGATGTCACAATTATGATTTAAGTAGGTATTGGTATCAGTGTGCATGATATTTTTTTAGGAAAAGTAAAACAATTTATTTATTAGCTGTATTTAGTATCTGATGAGCGACGTTACATTGATTAAAACCTCGTTGTTAATATTTTTATGAGTTATAAGGTTGTCTTTGAAAACGTTAGAGTTCGGAGTTCAAAGAGTTTTGACTTATGTGTTTGTAATCATGGTGGTAAGAAATATTGGGAGATGATAAATAAATATTGTTACCTAAATTGCCTTTGATTTTTATCCCTTTTATTAAACAAGATAAGAAAGAGAAAGAAACATCGTTTACTTTTAGTAAGGACCGGAACACATTTGGGCTATTCTAGTGTTGAGGGAGTCCATGGGCAGTGATATATGGAGGCAACAATGCTTCGGCACGAATGGGTGCGGTCGATCTGAGCGATACCACGGCCTCACAGAAAACCGGCGTGAAACAACCAGAGCGTTATGTTCTGCAATATGAGTAAGGTTACCAGATACGAAATCTTACCTTTTCCCCACCCTTAATTCCAAATCTAATCCTCTGCCAACACACCTGTAAATCCTGTAGTCCTGCGGATGTGTATGGGCGGCGCTGATTGATGACCATCAGGTACGCTCACGGCCATATTTTATATATGTATTTCAGCTTATAACGTATTGTGCACTAAATAAATTCCGTTGTATTTAACCGCCTTGAACAAGCATCAATGTCAAGTCATTAATGCTCATTCATTCGTTCTGTTAGAGAAGTCTTTGCTCAACCGTGGTTAAGTTAAAGGCTGGTAATAATTACAAACCCTAAAAAAAACCTTATGAACAGACTAATAAAAATCAAAATCCAAGGAAATTTATTATTTATTGCATACATGATCACCGAAATATTATTTACATTAAATGGTTTAGTAACACTGATGACTTTATATACAAATTATCTAATAATAAGACTAATTTACTATTACAATATTATTATTATTATAAATAATATTTATTTTCACTTATTATATTTACAGGAGATAACAAACTTTTAGATTTAAACGTTCAAATCTTATTTCAAAGTATACGTTTTGGTATTTTACATTGCTATTCTAATCTATGGTTATACCATAGACTCAATTACGATAATGGCATAGCTAATGGTAAATTATTTTTTGACTGTGGTGATGAGACGTGAGATTTAATTTTCGAACTTTAGAAACTTAATACGCATACTTTAAGAGAGATCACACCTACAATCCAAACTAGTATTATAAATGCGAAGAAACTCTGTCTGTCTGTCTTTTCTTCACGCCTAAACTACTGAACCGATTTCTGTGAAGTTTGGTAAAGACATAATTTGGACATAAGAAAGTTTTTATACCAAAAATCTGCAGGAAGTCACTATTCCACGCGAACGGAGTCGCGGGCAAAAACTAGAACATATTTTATAGTTCCATATCACTCATGACTTTTAATTAAATTATACGTTATGAGTGTATTTTTTTATATAAGATGTACTTGTATAACAATCCTGCACAATTCCAAACAGGAATTGGATGTAAATTACTGAGTTAAGATTTTTTTATGATACGTTTTCTAGTTCTAGCCCTGAAGGGGTAGACGGGAAGGGGCAGCACGCTTGGCAGTTGTACTTGTAGATGTAGCTCAATTGAAGAGGCAGACAGACAGGTAAAGCCATAATTATTGGTACAAAAGTTAACCTAAGAACTAAAATTATTACTTAATTGGACAGCTGCAGACTTTGTTTGTTTGATTAAACGCGCTACCCTCCGGAAGGTCGGTTTCATATCGAATATTTTTTTTTTGAGTTGGATCGTTCATTTACTTATAGAGACCGAAATGAGCCGAGCAGCGGATGAAACCGCGCGAGAGTATCTAGCAAATATGTATATGCTTAAATAATTTTAATCTCATGTCTCATTACCAAGTCAATTGTTACAATAAACAGCTTAAATTAGAATTTTACATTAAAAAATACATACAATACAAATAGGTATCCATAAATCTGTAAAATCGATTATACCTATCATATTTATTATTATATTATATGTATAAAATATAAGGTTGAAATTAAAAATAAAATAGGTAAAAGGTTACCAGAAAGAAAAATAAAATATTATGGAAAAAAAAACTTGTTATTTTTTTTATAATAACTACCGTGAGACTTACTAAATTAATATACATACAGCTTACCCTCGTAATTGTTCGAGGAGATGTCTCGACTATTTTCGAGCCTAGCCACAAGCGTCGAGGCGTGAACTTACGAGAGCAGGCTGTTTTGTTTATTTGTTTTCATTATGTTGTGTAAATACTAAAATGTTAATAAAAGTCGGTCACGGAATTACATTATTATAAAATTATTCTATATTTTCGTTTTATTGGATACATAGTTAATTGACTTCCTTTTTAAATCTGTTTTCAAGTTGAAAATTTAAAATGACAATGTAATAATGATTAATATTTTATTTGAATCAAATCGTCAAATTCCAAACTAATGTCGTAAAAGTACTGAAAAGTTTTATAAGTTTTTTAGTTATCATATTATAACCATAAAATGTTGCGTCGTTTTTAAAAAAGTCAATAGCTACATAAAAATAAAATAATAAACTTCCAAAAATCCGTCCACCATGTAAGCTAGTTTTTTTTATTAATTATTTACAATTTTCAATGAGTCGAACTATTTTTTATTAATATTTACATAGATACGAATATCAGAATTTTGTTAATATTTTTGAGCATTATTTAATAGGTAGGTAATGACAGAATATTTTTACCTTATTATTTAACATTTTTGTAGCTTAAGTTTTTTGAGACAACAATATTACACATAGTTTTACAATTATTCGAATTTTAAGTTGGTAATCTTTTTCTACAATTACGTATTTTTTTTCTGTATTTTTATTCTGGTTACACACTCGTCTTGTGAACGTTATTTATTTGTGTAACTTATTCTTTTGACCAACGACTATCCATTTAATTTATTAATCAATTCGTAAGTAATTGTTCTTCAGAAAAAGTTAGTATAAAGATGTTTTCACTAAAAATTTACACAGTAATTTTAGGCGAGCAAGGGTAGCTCTCCTCCTGACCAGAACTAGACCCGAGTGTGCGGCGCAAAGCGTCTCACGCGCGCCTCATAGAGCCTATAGACCACCACAGATGGGGCCCAACATGGACAATGCTCAGTCGGGGTCGCGGGTCAAGGCGCAATAAGGAACCGTGTCTTCCACTTAGAGCAGGAGAAGGAACGAAACCCTCCTTCAAAAGACTGGCAACGTAGTCGATATAATCACATAAAAATCCCTCGTTAACAAAAAAAGGACCAGCCTAGACTAGCCAAAACAACTACCATAAAATAGTATGCTGTTAAAAACCTATCAAGAATACCAAGTGTGTAAACAGCTTCATCAAAAGAATATCTACCACCAAAACAATTTTCATAATTTCAATTATGATTTTTTTCTTAGAACATTTTCAATTTAAGAAATCCAGTAGTAATTTATAATATTATTAATATTAGCTATAAGTAACTAATAATTGTTTTAGGTAATAATCTGTACAATACTTATTGTGTTTATAATAAATTTTAATTTAAGTATTAAGTAACTAAGTTACGGTTTTATATTTGTTATGTAAATTAATTATAATAATATTGTAGTGTTACAATAAACCTTATATTACAATTCAATGATTGGTTTATTATTATTTTTATTATTTCAATTAATTTTACTATGTTGGCACTGTATGAGGACTTTTCGAGTAACTACCTAAAAGGCGATTTTTTAAAAACGAATATTTGAAATACATACTTATATTCCTTATTCTGATTTACGTATTTGGAATTGTATAGATATATTTTTTTTCTATTTTTAAGCGTCATTTACGGAGAAGCGTCCCGTTGCGTGACGCTTATTGCGTTTGTTGTACATTGCAGCAATAGACCGTGTCATCGTACGCGCAATTACAAACATAATGAGCAATGTACGATGAACGAACGTAAACGAGCCCTAAGTATAGTGATGGTGACGGGGAATGAAAAATAAACACATGTTTTTTTTTTATTTTGCCGTACAAGACAATACTGTTTAGATATAAAACTCAAATTCAGGTTTTAATGTCCCTTCGTATGACATGAACTAAATTGTGACGTCACACGATATTTAAAATCTACAAACGCGGTAGCGTGTCAAGCCAAGTTCAAGAAACAGAACTGGCGAGCCGCACCGTGTGCTTCGTAAGTTTTGGATTTTTCAAGAATGTTTTCAATTGATGTACTAGATGGATATGAAAAACTAAATGCCAAGTCATCATCCCTATTTTATTACAGAAGAAAACGCAGGTACAAACATTGATAAATTTAATCGAAAATTATTTAAAAATGAATTATTTTGACTATACATATATGTAGTTGACGCCGCAAGATCGAACTGCCGATTTTATGGGTGCAAGCGAATATAACGTATCGCGAGCACGGCTCTAAGGACCGGGATGGTTTTTAGTCTTGAATAATCATGTCTGAAAATATTGATACTGAACACAAAAAATCCCATTATTTTCAAAAAAAAAAAAAAAAATATAATCTTTGTAATAACAACATGCGTCCTATATCTGTCCTTCTCTCTCATACAGTGCCTTAGTATCTGCCGTCCCGCACTAACGTCATCGGAGGCCGAAGTGTAAGAGTATTGAGGTTAGGAGCAGTAAACAGGTGCCACTGGTTGTAATACCGTGGATGGCGCTAGTGTTGCGTCGGAGTATAGCAGCCATCTTGTTGCCTGAAAAAACAAAAAGGTTAATTAAGACTAAATTATTTTAATTTAATGCCATGACTATGTCATAGTGTCACCATTATGCTGTACTAGTTTCGCAAGTCGCATGTTTCATAATATCAAGATTAAGGGTCCCGGTGATGCTTGAAACTAGTCGAGCATTCTCTAATCAGGCTATGTTAGAAATCTGTAAATGATTTAAATCAAATGCACAGTGCACAGTGACTATTCTGTTTTGTCATAATGTAGAAGCTTCATGTACATTCGCAACGCTTGATTCAGGGGCTCTAGCTAGTAGGCAACGTTTCATACGATTTTTGCTTACCACCAGATACCAGCTTGTAAGTTTGTTCCTAGTATTCAAAAAGTATAGTTTACTTACTGCCTTCCGAAACGAAGACATGAATGGAAGCGGGCTCAGTGTTGCTCGCGCTGCAGGTGTAGTTCCCGGAATCCTTCAGCGTGGCTCCGCGGACTGTGAGGCGGGACTGTGTACGGGCCCCTGGCTCTGTTTCTACAGTAATCCCGCCCCGTGTCGCGTCATAGTTGATCATACGGTCGTTGTGGTACCAGAAAACGTATTGCGGTGGCGTTGGGCTCTGGAAATTAAGAAAAAAATATGTTCTATAATGTGTTTATGGTTTCTTGTTTGAATTTCGAATCGTGAATGGCTTTTCTTGAATGTCTTTTTTTTTTTGGAATAGTGTGTTGTTTGTTTTAAGTATCGTTATTATTTTCATTTGCAGTATGATCACGATTCGTACTATCAGAGATAAAGTTAAAAATATTACTGATGATTTGCACATTCTAAGAAATCATTCAAGTGGGGAAGAGCCATGCTTCGGCATGAATGAGCAGCCTTGACCGGAGTGAAACCACGGCCTATGAGAAAACCTACGCGAAGCAACACTTACGTTTCTTTATACTTCTGTTTCGCCATGTGAGTGAGGTTACCGAAGACCCAATACTTCCCCCCCCCCCATCCTCTATCCTTAAATCCCCTCTGTAAATCCCTAACAAGCCACAAGAGGTCGGCAACGCAATTTTAGTAACTCAACCGGTGTTTGGATTCCCAAATGCTTACCATCAGGTAATCCGTCTGCTCGACTGCCGATTTACGAATTAAAAAAGAAACAGAAGTAGGACTTCTAATATATGATAGGGCGGCAAACGATCATCTGTTGGTAAGCCATCGCTTCCATCCATTGGGAGACACATTGGGGGATTAAGATTATGGAGATTTAGGGATTGGGAATAAGAAGGGAAAGGATTGGGCTTATATCAGTAGCCATGCTCAAAAAAGCCTGATAGTAACACCATTCTAACTTTATACGAACTTAACATTCCTAGCCAAGAAGTGGCTCTTACCAAAATTACATTTCTAACAAATTAAAAGTGTTTAAAGATTATCTAACAAAAAGTGTTTATATTAAGTGTGAGAGAGTCATGCTTCGGCACGAATGGGTCGGTTCGACCGGAGTGATACCACGGCCTCACAGAAAACCGGCGTGATACAACCACAGTGTTGTGTTTTGCCGTGTGAGTGAGGTTACCGGAGGCCCAATCCTTCCCCTTCCTAATCCCTAAAAGGTCGGCAACGCACTCGTAACTCCTTCGTTGCGGGTATCCATGGGCGGCGCTGATTGCTTACCATCAGGTAATCCGTCTGCTCGTCTGCCGACCTACTACATAAAAAAATATTTAAGGCACTTGTTAACAAAAGTGCCTACAAAAATATAATATCTCATTCCTTAAGAAAGAAAGACGTAGTCACATTGTAAACGTAACAAAATAGGTTATTTACTCACTATTTGGTATGTCAACTGTTCGTGTGTTTGTGTGTTTGGGAACAAACCAAGTCGAACAATTTTTACGACTCACCCAAACTCGTACCTACAAGCCGAATGTTCGCAAACATTGACCCTAGTACTGAATGATACTGTTTTATTACCATGATCTTTATTTTGTAAGTCATATGAGTGATTATTCACTGTAGGAAAATTTGTCGCGCTGGTTTACTTATTATGATCAAATATAATGTGAATTAAAAATGCCATTTTTGGTATTGAAAAATATAACTGACATGTTTATATTATATTGTAATACTCAGATTTGCAAGGCTCTTTGCAAGGGAAAGATAACTCAATAAGAGTTTGACCATAGTAACCAAAACTAAGACAACTTAATGAAAATCAGTTGTCTAGATTTTTTTATTAATGGCGACGGTTAGGTATTCTGATGGCAAGCAATCGCCGCCGCTCTGAGAGTCCCGCAATACTGAAGGAGTTTACGAGTGCGTTGCCAGCCTTTTGGGGATAAGGGGAAGAAAAAGTAACCTTACTAACACAGCGAAACACAATTAATATTTCACGCCCGTTTTCTGTGAGGCCGTGGTATCACTCCGGTCGAGCCGACCCATTCGTGCCGAAGCATGGCTCTCCCACGGTCATCCGCTTGGCACTTTATCCGCTACAATAATCCAGCCGAAACACGCCATAAACCACGTAAAGAATACGAAAACTACACAACAAAAAAACTCCCTTCATATTACCATACAGGCATTCCTTTACAAAAATATGCACCGTCTGAATGTATGAAACAGAACATGCAAATTATCAGCGACAACGCGAGAATAGTAAGCATACCAACAGACAGACATTGCCTCACACGTCACTGTTCGTCTCGTTTCGTCTCGTTCGCCTCGCCTTGCTTCGCTATTACCACGATTATGTAAATCTCGAATCATGTTTATGCTGACGTCACGCGTCTACAGGGCCGGATTTAGGGAAGAGAAATAAGAGTATATGGTACTGAAGTGCCACAAGGGTACTTGTAGCGTGAAATGTGATATTTTTTGCTATAAGACGGAATTAAATCTCACAACCCTGGTCGGAATTAAAACGTGAATGTGTATTTCAATTATGTAACCTTAGAAGTTTTATGTTTTATTTTATTGTAATTAAATGAAGACTGAAACTTTGTGTTGTTTAATGATTTTTCTAGAATAATGTTCCACAGTAAAGTAAATACACATATTAAAAGATATAATCGAACAGCCTCAAAGGGCAACTCAAACTAGCGTTCAATCTTTTTAACTGTTTTTGAGTTTGAAATAATAGTGTGAACTTAGGTTCAGTTTGATCCTCAAAAGGGTCCAAAAATGGTTTTGACCGTTTTTAACACTAAAATCATGTTCCTGATGTTATGTTACGATTGCCTTGCATCGTGTAGCGAGTTCTTTTCCCGCACTGAACAATGCGAATTGATTTTATGGGTTGCTCTGGGTGTAATAAGTATGTAAAATGGTATGTTAGTAAAAGAACTTACAATAAAGCAGCAAATCTTAATGTGAGGCAAGGTTATTAAAAAAAAGAATAACTTGGAGTTTCAGACACATTGTACCAAATAACAACAAAATATATTACATTAACCACTAGACTATAACACTTCTGCCGATCCCTTCAGTGTACAAAACCCATAATATTAAGAGGAACAATTAGGGGCACAGCACTAATTACTGCGTTCGGCTTGCCTACGGTATTAACCGGTCGATATTCATGCTTAGTGAACCACAAATGTATTGAAAACGCATTTCGGCGTGAGAGCCTAAACCAGGTGTGATGTTATTATAACCGGCTTTATATGGTATAAGTCGGCCATCACTGAGATGTACTATTAATCCTTGAAGTGGTAGGTACTTACAGGGATATAAAAATAATGTAATCTAAAGTTATAATCTGTTTTAGAATTCTTTGTAGGTTAGTAGGTTTTAGAAAAATCTAACCAATTGAGCGATTCCATAATTTGTCAAAACGCTGTGGCTCTAGCCCGGAACAAAGGAAGGAACAGGGTGGATTTTAGTTAGTAAGAGCGTAAGAAGCAACATGATAAATATCTCGCTTCGAAAAAAAAAAACGATTTGCCTACCTAATGTAACTAACGCAAAAATACAATGTCAATCTCATATTTACAGAAGACTATCAATTGACAATTCGAAAAAATCTATTAGTGTATTTGATCAACTGGAAGCACGTTGTTAAGATTTTAACTAAGATGGGCTAATATCAAACAACAAGCGCAGCCATTTTAATTTAAGATAATCACCGACCAACTGCCGCCTTTTAATGGCGACTTTAAACGAAAATATCCGCTCTCGAGTCGGTAAATCGATAGATCGTTCCCGCAAACACGACCTCACAGCTCTTAATTACCGCCGAAGCGATTCTACACACTACCAAAGCCAAGCTGGCCTCGTTAAGAAAAATAATGTTGGAAAAGAAAAAAAAAAAATGGTGCCCGCGCGCAAAAATATATAATTTTTTTGTAAAACATGCAATTAGTCCGCTCTATAATTCGCGCTGGAACTTTCTGGAACGTTTTTAAATTGTTTTTTTTTCCGCTTTCGAATTTTTTTCTTTTATTTCGGAAAGTAGGTTGAGCATTCTTGTGGCGAGGTTTTTGTTGAAAGGAGTGTACGAGTAGTAGGTGGACTACGAGAATTCGGATGCTATTCTTTTGAATTATATCCCGATCATATTTTCAGAAAAGCCGTGGCGTGCGGAGTTGTAGTCAACGGAACTTTGTGCGTTTTGTTGCTTGGATAGTGAGATTTTAAAAGGGTTTTAAGGCAAAGATCAGTCTTTAGAGATTACATATGTATTGCTTGCTTGTATTAGTAGCGAGTATGGATGAGTTATAAAGGAAAAAAAAACAAAAATGTCACTTAAAATGAGATTTAATCCTTAGAGATTTAATCAGTATTGTTAATTTGTAGACCTACACACGTATTATTAATCTTAATATATTAGTTAACAAATAACAGTCAGCCATGCCAAACCTAATTATCCCAAATGTAAACAAAAACAAAAAACAAATTCTAAGATCGACGCAAAGCAACACCCACGCCATCTACTTTTAGACATACCTTTTCCACAATGCAGATGAGATGGATGACGCTGCCCATATCCACGTGGTGTTCCCCCGAACCGAGGATGAAGGCTTCCGGCACCACTATCTGCAGTCGAACGTAGTGCGAGACGATGCCTGTTCTGGTTGACACCTGAAATTGAAGAAAGGAAAATTAATAAATCTATTTATTATGTACATAATTATATAAAATAAAGTCGTGTTAGTTACACTATTTATAACTCAAGAACGGCTGAACCGATTTGGCTGAAAATTCGTAGGGAGGTAGCTAAGAACTGGGAGAAGGACATAGGATAGAGTAGGTAGTGTAGGGTAGGTAGAGTAGGGAAGGTAGAGTAGGGTAGGTGTGTAGAGTAGGTAGAGTAGGGTAGGTAGGGTAGGGTAGGTAGTTAAATGACGGGAGCGACGCCGCGGTTAAGAGCTAGTATCTGATATTCGTAGCAAAAAGGTGTTGGATGTCATGCTTCCAACCTTTGAGATTTGAAAATGATTGGAGGAAGCCTATGTTGATGACAGGTAGGTTCTTTGACTGGTTATGGCGATAGTGATGGAGATTTAATATACCATCACCAAATAAGACATGCCGGCTGATAAACAAAGGATGCTATTCCAAAAGGATCAGTTAGGTCACGGATCTCAAAAACTTGAGAATTTAAAAAGGCACAATCACTTAATTTTAAAGTTAGTTAAAGTTCAGATTAAATCAGTGCCAAATTGCAGTTTTCACAAGTAATAGATAGCTATTTCTATAAAGTCAATAATTATGTAAGTGAGGAAGAGCCAGCAATTGATAACACGACCTCACAGAATACCAGCGTAAAATAACATTAGATTATAATTATGTTTCACCATGATTGTGACACCATGACTGACGGCCAAATCCTTTCCCCCATTACCTGTCTCCCAATCCTCAGATCCCTAACAAACCCCAAAAGGCAGGTAAGGCCCATGCAACTTCTATGAAGTTGGTCCACAGGCGCCACCGATTGCTTATAATCAGAAGATTGGTCTGTTCGTGCGCCAACCAATCATAATGGGGCTATGACTGTTACTAGATGGCAGCGAAAGAAGACAAAGGACTGTGTTGAATAGTTTAAAATAAAATTTATTCATCATCATCAGCCTATAGGTTAGGTTGCTATACGAAGAAGGCTAGAGGATTAATCAGCATAAACCACGCTTGCTCAATGCGGGTTGGCGATTTAAAACTTATAATTAGAAATTATAAGTCCAGGTTTTCCAACGATGTTTACCTTCACCATATGTCAGTGGTGTCTAAATAATCATAGAAAGTACATATAACTCGGAAAAAGTCACGTTGGTACTTGCTAGGTTTCGCACTTACACCCTCATACATGAGAAGCGGGCTCCTTAACCTCCGAGCCACCATGACAAAATTTATTATGATAATCTATTTCTTTTATGATGAAGTTGATCACAGCTGTATACTATAATGTTGTGTATTAGATACCCTGTCGTTTATAAGGTTTCATAATCGAGAGGATTAGGTGGGTATTAAAATTCTCAATAAAAGTACGAAAGTTCTACAATTATTTCTAGTTCTAGGTAACCCGTAATGAAGTAACTTTTAACTCATTACACAGAACACTGCCAAAGTTTGCTCGTGTTTAATAAATATTTTAGAACAGCCAAATATGTATTGTGTAACATGTCCCACTAAAAGAGAAAAATTTTGTATAAGTAATGTAGAAATTACGTAAGTTAAATTTTCAGTTTCTACCTACGTAGTTCGCTATTTTATTTGCTTCTTTAAAACCGAACGAAACTAAAACACTGTTATTTCCAAGTCTTAGGGCAATTCTCGTTAAAACAATAAACGATCATTCTCCTACACTGACTGTGTTTTTGAGCAAAAAGCCCTGTATTGAGACTAACAAAAAAAAAAAAAGTTCAGAAGAATAAAATTCGAACCCATCTTAGTATTAGAATAAAATGTCTCCGAGACAATGTGCTTTAAGTGCGTAAGACGAAAAAATAACAATTCCGTTAGAATAGGCTCATAGAAAGAATACTCAAGTTATACAGTCGAAAAAATACTTAATTATCATACGATACGGCGTGCATTTGAATGTAGGTTTATTTTAGATATGACGTTGTCGCGTTGTGGCGATAGAGAAAAAAGAAATTCTTTACAACCCCTACTCTGTAAGAGTCGACTAAGAAGACATAAGAGACTATTTTATCGGCACACATCAGGCAGCAACTGTTTTGCTTAATTACTTTCGTAATGGACAGGCATTTGGTCCCTACATGCCTGGTGTTAAGCGATGATGCAACCTACGATGGAGCACGTCTACCCAAAAGCAACCCATTCATTCGGACTTTCAAGACACCCAGGTTATATAGACCCATCGTGGAACTTGGACTCCGCCAAATAAATCCGAACCTTTGGAACTAGTTCCCCTAATCCGTCTGCCACGCTTATAAGTTTGTGAAAACTAACTCTAGAAAATGTTCATAGTCCAACCGTGGTAGAACCAACTATTTTTCTTCATCATCATCGTCACTAGCCTATAAGTGCTGAGCAAGGGCACTTCATCACCACGCTAGCTCAATTGGCGATTTTAAACTTAGAATTAAAACTTATAGGCCCAGGTCTCTGACATTGTCAATCTTGGAAAGTATATAATTATGACTCGAAAAAGTTGGATAGCCAGCCTTCGAAGCTCGAACCCATGACAGTATAAGAAGCTAGCGCCAACCTCTAGGCAAAAAAATCCTTACCAACGCTGAAGTATAAACAGGTTGTAAAAAAGTAACCGGCGTGAAACACACTGAGAGAGCCAAGATTCGGCACGATAGGGTCGGCTTGACCGGAATGATACAACGTCCTTACAGAAAACCGCCGTGAGACAACCACAACGTTATATTTTGCCATGTGAGTAAAGTTACTGTAGGTCTATTCCTACCCTTCTTCATCCCACCACAATCCCTAAATCTCCAAAATCATAATCCCCAAAAGGCAGGTTACGCACTAGTTACTCCTCAAGTGTTGAAGATGTCCATGTCCGGCGCCGATCGCTTAACATCAGGGGAAACGTCTGCTTGTATTTCACGACTTAACACATTCCTAGACAAAAATATAGGTTATATATAAACAGCCTACAATATACTTCTAAAATTCCCTTTTATTCTTCAAATAAAAATATATTTGAACATTCAGATTTATTAAGCTTTTTCTTCTGTTTTTCATTTTGTTGTTTTCCGTAATATGCCTAGAGACGAGACGATGTGTACTTACTTAATAAATACACGTTTGTTTTTACTGATGCCAGAAAAAGGATTGTTTATTCTGTTTTAAAACGTAATGGGAATTATTGTTCTGTGTTGTGTGACGGCTTTTGGTTTGACATAGACGACGAAATAAGTGATAGAAGAGTTTTGTGTTTATAAATGTAACTTTCACCCGGTTTCCGAAAGGCTTTTCAACGCTGAAATTAACTAATCTCCTGTTAAATCTCTTGTCAAGTCATCCGATTGGTTGTTGATAATTCAGTCAACCAATCAGATGACTTGACAAGAGATTAAATTGATTTTAACATTGACGGCCTTTCGGGAACCGGGCGTTTGTGTTTTAAATATTATACTACAATTATTTAGTTTTTTTATGTGTTATGTCGGCAAACGAGCAAACGGATTACCTGATGGTAAGCAATTAGCCTCGCCCACCCCCAACGACGGAGAAGTTACGAGTGCATTGTCGACCTTTTGGGGATTAGGGATTTGGAGATTTTGGGAAAGGGAACGGATTGGGGTAGGGGAAGGATTGGGCCTCCGGTAACCTCACTCACACGGCGAAACACAACTCTTTGGTTATTTTTCGCCGGTTTTCTGTGAGGCTGTGGTGTCACTCCGGTCGAGCCGACCCATTCGTGTTGAAGCATGGCTCTCCCACACTTATAGTTATTATTTTAACAATAGTCATTTAGAATACAATGTTACATGAATAACGTGTAATAATAATAATCATAGGGTATTTCATAAAAAAATATTGTGGATAGTAATTACTTTCATTCTCTAATTGAAAATAATATTTTTATCGCGTGAATTAACTAAAAAAGCTCTACTATTTTCAATTCGCAACGGTACCTACTCATAGCTATGAGCGGCGCGCGTGCTTTTAGCGGCGACGACAGCCGACTGATCACTCGAAATGTCGCACACATAGGCTCGTACTCGAACTTAGTCGTAAGCGTTAAATAAATTTAGATATATTGTGTAAAACATTAGTTTATCTTAACTACGTCATAATTATAAATCAATTTAGAAAGATTGTATAAGATTCTACATAATCCGTTCAAAATATCCTAACCAGGGACGAAAACTTACATCCAATAATGAAATGGGACCTTTTCAAACACCGCGATAGTCACGTGTTTTATACATAACGAACCTCGGCCCCAAAATTAAAGACAAAGTACAATCAGCGAAATTTCTCATTACCTCCCTAAGTAGGTACAATCAACGAACGAATACGTTCCATTTCATTCCGTATCACGCACAAGCACGTACCTATTATTCCTTTCAACGTATTTCTCTCCCTTTACCCATTTGAAGTGTAAGTTGTGAAATCATTTTCGTTATGCAAATCGCGAGAGATATCATCTGCATACGGTACTGGTGTACAGTTGCGAACTAAAATCTGATGCTAGTACCAAAAGTCAAAAATACATACACCATTTGCTTGATTAATAGCTTGTGTTTACCAAGGACAGTGTAGCTTACTACAGGTGGAATATTTTTTTTCTAAACTGGTAAAGTAGTTTCGGAGCTTACTCATTTGAAACAAACAAACAATTTTTTGTATTTATAATATTAGTATAAATAAACAATAATAAATTTAGTCATAAAACAAGTTCGGGTAACAGGACACTGACATACACGAACGATTCGAAGCATCCTTTGACCTCCTCATAAATCAGAAATTGTGTGAATAAAGCATGTCAAGTTGTGCTTATAATTGGTAAGATGATCATTAGCATTGAATCATATTTAGCCGAAAAAAAAAACATTTAAAATTAATTTAATTATTTAATATTACTAAACTGAAGGTCTAATATAACTAATTTAAATTCGGAATTTTAAAAATTTTTAGAAGCAACATGACTTTAA